GAGGGTTTGCCTTTTGCGTGTTTGAGCTGCCGCAGCAAGTGGTCCACTGGTCTGCGGCCAGTGGTCACCTGCTGCGGCCACTTCTTCTGCGAGCGCTGCGCCTTCACGGGCTTCCGCAGCAGCAGCAGCAGCAGCAGCAGCAGCAGCAGCAGCAAGTGCAAGGTCTGCGGCAGAGACACCTACGGCATCTTTAACGAGGCTTCGCAGCTCCTCGCCAAGATCCGCAAGAAGGAGCAGCAGCAAGCTGACAGGAGGGCCAAACGCGCCAGGTTCTTCCCCGACAGCAGCAGCAGCAGCAGCAGCAGCAGCAGCAGCAGCAGCGGCGGCGGCGGGGGCGGGGGCGGGGAGGGGGGGGAAGAGGAGGGCGAGGAGCACGCTGGCTGCTGCAGCAGCAGCAGCAGGGAGAGCCCCTGCTGCAGCGGCAAGAAACACTGCAGCAGCAGCAAGGACCGCCCCAAAGGCAGCAGCAACGGCAGCAGCAGCAGCAGCAGCAGCAGCAGCGCGGAGGAAGAGGGGGGGGAGGAGGAAGGAGAAGAGGCAGCAGCAGCCTAGTGCTGCTTCCCCGGGTGTACGTACACCCCAGCAGCAGCAGCAAACTGCCACTTGCTCTGCTGCAGCAGCTTTTTCTTTATTTCGTCTTTTTGTTTGTTCCCGAAACCCCAAACCCTAGTGTTGCGGCTAAGCCTCAAACCGCGGATTAGGGTTGAGGGTTTAGGGTTTAGCTGCTTCCTTCCCGCCAGCGGCCCCAAACCCTGGAAAAGGGTTTTCGCCGCTGACCGGCGCCTGCTGCAGAATGGTCGTTGCGGGTGTCGTCAGCAGCAAGCGAAACAAGCTGCTGCTGCTGCTGCTGCTGCAGCAGCAGCAGCAGGAGTTAAATTTTATTTCAACTAGTTTGCCTAGATGAAATGTATTTAAGTTGACTTAATTCGCTAGACTGGTCAAGAAGGCCTGCTGCTGCGAGAGACACAGCAACTCCAGCAGCAGCAGCGGCAGCAGCAACGGCTGGAGTTGCTGCAGCAGCAGCAGCATTTGCTGCTGCTGCTGTGCTGCAACAACAGATGTGAAGACGTGGGCTGTTTATCTCCCAGCAGCAGCTCATTTGTAAAGCCTTTATTGCGCGGACACTGTAAATCTTGCTGCGCAGCTCTCGGTGCAGATACTGAGGTAATTATTTATCCTATTTCTGTTCTTTTCTCAATTTATTTCGAACTCTTTTCATTTATTTATTACGACTAAGGTGATTTGCTGCAGTTCGACGCTGGGGCTGCTGGCGCAGTTCTGAACTGTGCATATTTTGAGCTGTACATACACCTGAAAAAACCAGCGCGCGCGCTGGAAACGACGGGTGGAAGGAGGGGAGAAATCACATTTCTTTTTTCTGAAAAAGCTTTTAAAATATTTATTTCTGGGAACATTTTTGAAATATCTTTCTTATTCCGAAGGAACTCAACTTATAATTCCATTTTGTCCTCCACTTGTTGCATCGACCGGCGCCCGCGGCGAGCGCGACGAGGTGACCGCGCGGAGGAAAGAGGGAACCGATCTGCATTTAAATTAAAGCTAAAAGATGAAAAAGAAATTAAAAACGGAAAAACAATTATTTTAATTATTTAAAAAAGTACAACTTTTCTTCTTTGCCTTTAAATTCCAGCTTCCTCTTCCGCTTTCCCCGTCGATGCTCCTGTGCATGCTGCGCAGACACCGCAGCCGCGCGCCGCTGAAACTTAAAGTGGAGAGCGGAGAAAGTGGAAAATAAAAGAATAAAATGCATTATTTTTCTTTTTAAATTTGAAAATAAAGGAATAAAATGCATTACTTGTCTTCTTAAGGGCGTTTTTGCGCAAATGGCGCTTCCGGCGCTGTTGGAGGCGGTGAGGTCGGGCGCGCGGGAGCTGCTTCTGCAGCAGCTGCTGCAGAACCCCGCAGCAGCAAAACTCGCCGACTGCAACGGGACCACTGGTCTGCTGCTGGCAGCAAAACTGAACAAAGAGGAAATGGTGAAGGAGATTTTGCTGCACGGCGGAGACCCAAATGCAGCAGAGTTGGCTGAGGTTGGGGCCAACACAGCTTTGCACTTCGCGGCGAGAAACAGCAACGAGTGAGTTTGCGGGCGTTTGACCTGCGGCTTGCTGCTGCTGCACCGCAGCAGCAGCAGCAGCAGCAGCAGCAAGCTGCTCAAAGCTCGTCTTTTCTCGCATTTGCTGCTGCCAAACTTCCTTTTTGCAACTTCAGAGAAATGCTTTCTTACCTCCTCGCCTTCGGGGCCTCTCCCAACCAGCAAAACGCCCTCGGCCAAACCCCGCTGCACTTCGCAGCAAGAGTTGGTGCTGCTGCTGCAGTGCAGCAGCTGCTGGCAGCAGGCGCCAATCCGGGCCTAACGGACCAGTCTGGTGAGCTGCAGCAGCTGCCAGTGGTCCACTGGTCCACTCGGGTGGACCTCTGGGCAGAAAGCTGCACAGAGGGGCACTTAGCTGCTGCTGCATGCAAGCGTTTTCTGCGCCTAGCCTCCCGAGTCCTCGCCACTGCTGCAGCTACACGCCCAACAAACCACCCCAGCAGCAGCAGCAGCAGCTGCTGCTGCTGCTGCTGCTGCTGCTGCAGCGTCGAGCTCAAATTGTGCTGCTGCAACGCCGCAGGGTTTGACGCGGCGTTCTGGGCCGAAAGCGAAATGCACGAAGAAGTCGTGCGGCTGCTGCCGCCGGCGAAGAGTCCGGGCAGTCGGGACGTAGCGTTATTTCAGTTGTTGGCGATGGACCAGCTGGGCTTCAGTCTGAAGCTGCCGGGCAAGAAGAAGGGGAAAGCGAAGAAAAAATAGCGCTTTTTCCCAAATAAAAGTGGAAATAAGCATTAAAAAGTAAAAAATATTCCAAATAATCCAAAATAATACCTTAATTTCATTTTTTGCTTGCAGTTTCCGCGAAACTTGAACTTTCTTGAATTTGCAAAACCACGCCGAGCTGTCTGTACACCCGAAACGCGCAAGCGCCACCGCCCGCGACCCAGCCGATCACTTTCCATTTTGGAATCCTTTTTGAATTTTAAATTGAAAATAAAGTGTTTGCATGCAAATAAAATGAAGTTGCATTTTAAAAACAAAAGAAAAACCCTTTGCTTCCTGCTTCCGCTGCTCGGATCCTGCTGCGCGCAGCTGCAGCTGGAAAGCCCCGGTGGGAATCCTTTGGAAGTTGAACTTCAGAAAATAAAATTAATTATTTTTAATTATCTCTTTTTTATTTTTCAGATTTCGGAACTTCTTCTTGCAGCAGCAAAGAAGCAAAAAGCCTTCATCCCAAGCACTTCAGCTCGCGCTGCGGCGGCCGCAGCCAGGCCCCAGCAGCAACTTGGACAGGTCAGCAGCAGCAGCAGCAGCAGCAGCAAATGGGAAACTTGAGTTTGTCGGTTTAATGCATTTCAAAACAAACAGGATCGCCTTATGAGACTGGCTCCTACGTTCTCACAATAACAGAAGTTTCGCAAAATGGAGAAGTTGTGAGAAAAAGATTTTTCTCATTTAATCTCCAAATTCAAAAAGTCCTTTAGATTCCTCACTTGTTGGTTTGGGACATTCCAGAGACCCTGACAAACGTGAGACGCCTCCCCCTGCTGCTGCTGCTGCTGCGGCGGCCCCGCTGCTGCTGCTGTTGCGGTGGCTTCGCTGCTGCTGATGCTGCTGCTGCGGTGGCCCCGCTGATGCTGCTGCTGCGGTGGCCCCGCTGCTGCTGCTGCTGCTGTTTTGGCGGCCCCGCTGCTGCTGCTGTTGCGGTGACCCCGCTGCTGCTGCTGTTGCAGTAGCCCTGCTGCTGCTGCTGCTGCGGTGGCTCCCCTGCTGCTGCTGCTGCTCATTGGCACCTGCAGCTAAGCCCTGCTGCGGACTGGAAAGCCCTGGGGGCCTCTCTGGGTAGCGGGGGGCCCTACGGGGGCCCCTGTCCTTCTGCGAGGTTTTCTTGTTTGCGGCTGTCTCTCTACGCTCTAAGTACGCCAGCAGCAGCAGCAGCAGCAGCAGCAGCAGCAGCAGCAGGTAATGTTTGTGAAGCGAACTCACTGCCCCGCGCCGCAGGCGAAGCCAAACTGCTGCTGCCCGAGGGCTCGCCTTACGAAAAGCTGCATGCGCGTTTGGCAGAGTTGGCGGAGGAAAATGGTTAGTTTTATTTTATTTTATTTTTAATTAAATAAATTAATTAAATTAAATTATTAAATTAAATTAATTAAATTAAATTTATTAAATTAAATTAATTGAATAAATGCCATTCAATGCTAACTAACAGCCCTGCTTGACGCCGCAGTGCTCTACGCCGTGGCCTTCCCCATGCAGCCAGATCAAATCCGAACGGGAATTTGAAACTGAAAATAAAAAATAAAAAAGAAATGAATCATTTTTGTTTTGAAATTCCCGAAAGACCCCAGCAACAGCTGTCTGTACACCCCGGAACTTCCGCTAATTTTGCCTTTTTTCGACATTTAAAATGCAAAAATTGACCAAATATTTAATAAATTGTGAATGAATTTGCTTGTATTATTTTCTCTTATATCTTCGGAGGCGGCACAGCAGTGGTGTTGGTGCGGTGTACAGACACCTCGCTGAGGTGTATGTGCACGTCCTCGCTGAACCGATCTTCGTGAAGCGTTTTGAGTTTAAAAGTGTTTATTTTTGAAAATAAAAGAATAATTTTAATATTAAAAATGTTATTAATATTGATATTACTATGAATTTATTGAAGTTTCAAAGTAGCTGCAAACGACAGCCCCAGCGCTGGCGGCGACTCGGGAAGCTGCAGCAAAAAGGTGAGAGAAGGAAGTTAATGAATTAAATGAATTAATTAATTTAATTAATTAATTAATTGCAATTAATTAATTCATTGCATGCACTGAATCAGATCTTCAAATTGTTCTTTTGAATCCGGTTCTGTTGACTGCCAGGCGCCTCACTGCTGAGGTGTACGTACACCGCAGCAACACCACTGCGACTCCAAAGACTCCAACCCCTCAGCTCTTCCGACAGTTTTATTTCTTTTGGAGTTTCTTTCAGTTATAATGCCACTGAGGGATGGCCGACCCGCACCCAGACTCCCAAGAAGCCTCATCCTCCGAGACAGCAGCAGCAACAGCAGCAGCAGCAGCAGCAGCAACAGCAGGATCCGGCAAGGACGCGCTATGGTTCTCGACGTCAAGTACCCTGGGGAGTTCCTGGGGCCCCCAGGGGCCCTATGAGGGCCCCCCGAGCAGCAGCTTCGCCCCCTGTTCAGCAGCAGCAGCAGCAGCAGCGCCGCTGCAGCCAGCAGCAGACGAGGGGGCCCCCCAGGGGGGCCCCCGGGGGGCCCCCTGGGGGGCCCCCCGGGGGGCCCCC